CACGACCTTAGAGTTGAGGGAGGTCGATGCTATCTTGCATAGGAGCTCCCTGTCATTAACATCAATAGGCATGGAAATTTGTTTGATTATGTCACAAGCCTTCGTAGATGCACGCTGAAAGGCCTCTGATATTATGGTCGGATGTATCCCCTTGCTGAGGAGCTTGGAGCTCGCATCCAATAAACTTCCGGCTAGGACTACAACCGTAGTTGTTCCATCTCCGGCCTCGATATCCTGAGCTTTTGAGAGCTCTACAAGCTGAAAGCCTTTAGTAGACGTAAAAACAAACCATCTTAGCAGCTGGATGGAGCAATTTCATTTGTTTTAGGATTGTGGCTCCATCATTCGTGATGGTAACGTCACCCTTGGCTTCTTGGATCTGAAAAGTATAAAACAAACCAGAGTACCATCTTGTCCATACCCCTGGGGCCGAGACTGGTCCTTATCGCATCGGAGACAGCTGAAGAGATGTCAGGGAGGAAACATATCATACCTTTGGCGGCTATTATATTACTTGAGCGTATCGCGCAAGGTTTGCTTTTATCTTCAAACTCATGCTTTTTGTTAACCATTTTAGGGAGCTTAGATTGTCTCTGAGCCGGAGTTTTAGCAGTCATTTCATGAACGAGAAAATTCGAGTGTAGAGAGGACTCACAACCAAGAATGCGGAGAGGAGTCCGCTTTAACAAAAATGTTATACACTGACTTTGCTTAAGTGCCTTAATCAATGCTAAATTTTAATAGTAATTTTTTAAGAATAAGATTTTTATATTTAGAATCGTAAGCTAGCATAATTCCTGAAAGTTTTACGCTTGTTAGTCACCCCTACTAGAGTTCGAACAACCCCTGGACATATAAGGTGATGACGGAAGCATAGTGCAATTATCAAACGACGATATGACTAAACCTCATTCTATTTAATTCCACTTAGCCTAGTCTACGAAATGACATTTTTAGCTAGTGTAGAGACTAACTTAATAAATCACGAAACTGTAGCTTTTTTGAAACTTCAAAGGCATAAGATTATTAATTTATGAATATGATTTGTTTTTTCTTTACTATAGTATTCTTCATAATTTCTACATGTGGTAGAACAAAATCGAGAGCACTATTTTTGACCTATATCAGTTTACTAAATTTGGTTTATATTTGATCTTGCAATCGTACTAATCCTCTATTTCATCACTAGGCTCAGTGATTGCCCTATAGGTAATCAAAAGAGGAAAACTTGATTTTGTGTTTATCTTTAGATCATTTATTCAATTATTACTACTCATCCTCGTGTTATGCATCATATTCTTTCTCAAAGTCCAGGA